TAAGAAATTTTTCTGCTGTTTCGCTGTCGTAGATTTCCTTTGATTACAATTGGTAAACTTGTTTACTCTACTTATTTAAAAAAAACCTCATTCACACCAAATGGTAATTTTACAAGTTTTTTACTTGCAGGATCGTCATCGTCATTCACAGGTGCTAATACAAATACGTTTTTTTGTGGCACCTGTTGCTCTTAAGTGGTTTGTAGCTTGAGTAACTTTCGTTTTGATATTTCTTAAAAAATAATTACTAAGAAACAAATTGCCTGAAAGTTTAGTTTCTCTGATAGTTCTTCTCTGTACGGAAAAGAAGAAAAATAGGCATTTTAATGATAAGCAGGCAATACTTGTAAACTAAAGAATCACATACATAAGACTTATGGCAGATGAAAATGCATCTCACGTACTGAAAGAGTAAACTTTTCGACTTAATAGCTTCACAGTGAATCTGCACCTAATAATTTGTATGCTTACCGAACCAGTGTGCTGAAAAGTCTGCTAACTGTTTGCTAAAGAAATCATTATGTGTTTTACTAACGCAGAAATTCGCAAATATATCCCATTTTCTCTGAACATACGGTGGCACTCCATCTTTCAAATCGCTTCCCGTGAACACAGTCGGAGTTTCGTAAAGCACCTTCACTTTCTGAAGGTAGTTTGCCATAGGAAACCGTTTGCAAATCAACCCATTTCCACAATCCTGCTATTTTACGAAGACCAAACCAAAACGAATCACCTTCTAACGCGTCTTAAAAAGCTTAAATTACGTAAGAATAAAATAAAAAATATAAAAATAAATCTAAAAATAACCAAATTAATGATTCGTTGTTCCATAGAATTTTTTAAATTTTCTACATATAGTGTAATGCCGCAGAAATAAAGAAAGGAAATGATTTGAAGAATTTGGCTGACGTCTATAGCGAGATACATTCAGTCATACAGAAATAGATATTTTGGTTATATGTCATAGTTGTCCTGCGCAGTACAAGATAAACATCTGATAAGTATATGCTTGTAAAGAAAACTATCAAACTGACGTCATTTTGAGTTAGCTGAGAAAACAAACTTGTAAAACGGGTACGTTAGTTAAAAAGACGCCTCTTCAGAGGAAAAAGACCCACATCAATTAGGTACCATTGAGGTATTCACCACATCATTTAGGTATTTTTTTGATACAGTGTTTGACAATTCAAAAATTTGAAGAAAAAGTTGCTTGTAATAAAGCATTGTGCCAAACTCGAAGACGTAGTTGTTGTATTAAAAATCAGCAAACAATTAGCACCTTGCTCAAATTCTGTATCGGACACTGAACAGAAACGTTTTGTTTGAGAGACCGCTATATCTGACACGCCTCCGGCTCGTATGCTGTTTTAAACTTTGCGGCTTTATGTGTCCCGCCAAGTCAGCTTTTCATCCTATTTGACTTAAATATCCAAGTTCTGATATGCCAAGGCACTGTTACTAATAAACGTCACTTATTTAATTGTTTATATTTGCGTTAACAAAAAAATACCTCATAAACTGGCCCAAGCGATGAGAAGCAATAAATGTGTTTTTGGTAGTGCTTTTCAAGCAACCAGTGAAGATTTTTTGTAAGATTTTCACACAATAATTTTATTTTTTAAAAACTTGCCAAATATTTTGAGGAAAATTCCTACTTGATACGTCTAAGTACTCCTGTTCAGTATCGAAGGTTGCTAGGTGACTTCTTTGAGTTTCACAATGCCGTTGTGCATCATCCCACGTCATCTTTTTTGAAAACTTAAAAACACCAGGGTTGGAAAATGTCTTTTGAAAACCTTCATTTTTTTGTGCTTTATATGAACCAAATGTAGGCGTGGTACTTTTGATTGTTTGTTGAAGTTTCCAAATCAACTTTCTTCCTTTACAGAAGCAGTTGATAAGCGAGGTGTTTTTCATATATTACTTGCTGGTTTTGAGAAATTTTTTAAAATATGCTAACTGATTTGAAAAAAATAATTAATTTGGCTGCTTTTTCCTAACGCCGCATTTGAAAACGTATTTTGACTGTAAATGAATTCTAACTTAATCTTTTGAAAAAAGTTATGTTTAATTGCCAAAATAACAAAAGCCTCACAACTTTTCAAAATATTTAACTTTCTAGAAATATTCAAGGGCGTATTTATTTCAAGGAAGCAAATAAAATTTCAGCGCATAAAAAAGCTTTTTTCTGTAAGGAATAGGGCATAAAAGCACAGTAATACTTGTACTTGCTGGGAAATTGTGCTGCTTCTTACCAGATTTTCATAGAGAAAGTTTTTTGAACTTTTTAGTTACGTGTTTTCAACTGTGTGGGGAATATTGAGAAATAAATTTTATATGAAGCGCTTTTAAACGGTTTGTCATTAAACAGCTGCGTAATGTGCTTATTTCTCTTATTATTGCAGTTACCGGCTAATTTTTTTGGAACGTGGACCACTTTCAGTTCACTGTACAATAGTTTCATTACCTTGAAAATTAAATATAACAATATAGAGGACTGGAAAAGATTTTCAAGACAATTAAGTGCCGATGCTTGTACTTAGCTAACTCTTCCCGTTTAATAGCTAGCGGAGCTTTTAACATTGCGAATTAATAATTTTTTAAATTTATTTTATTTATTACTTTTATCTTTACTGATTGTTTTTTACGGAAGGAGTGGTAACAGCTGAACTTTTTATTAGACCCTTAAGTTCATACTAAAATTAGAACAAGAAATTGTGGTTGGTAAAAGGTTTTGTTTCGATTTAAAATCTTTTGACTGCTGAACAAAACCATTGTCTTCAGAAGTTTCCTGGTACAAATTGAAATTCTTGATTCACAATAATTGCACCTTGTAATACTGTTGTTGTAAGGGTCTCACATAATTGAAAATAGTAGCTTACCTTAGTCTTGCTTAGAAGTTTTGCTAAGCTGCAAGTAAAAAATCTGGTAACTAAGGCTACACGCAGAGAGCCAGCTATACACGTGTTTGACATGGTGAAACTGCGATTAGCCTCCACATGCAACAGGGCAAAAACTTCTTTATAAAAATTATGAAAACTTCTTAGTAATCAGAATAGTGTTGGTGTGTAAATATTTTTGAAAAATAAAGAATTTCAATTGTCTCAATAAAAAAGTGACACTTTTTCTAAATAATCACCGAATAGAACATTCATCTCATCTCATATAACTGAACCAAAATGCTTTATAAGTTTTTGTTGAAAACTACATGAATGATGAAATTTATTAAAAATGCACTTCACCAAACCTTTAGTCAAATATTTTGTTAAAATTTTTGTTTTACTTCATTAAGATTATGGTAGAAGAGGCAACAAAAAATAACATATATATATATATATATATATATATATA